ACTTTTTTGGAATGACTATGACCTGGATGACTTAGAACCTTCACCATCATGCAGCTTTCAGTATTCACTACGTGTGGCCTTTTGACCAAACTCTGATCTACATTCCTGCCAAATCTCAAATTTCTGCAACTTACGTTTTCCCCCCATCTCACTTTAGAGGGCGCTGTAGAGTCATTGGGCCACACCCATTTTGAATTCCATAAAAATATGTTAATTTTCACAGGAGGACAATTTACTGCTCAGTTCTGAAAAAGTCAGATTTCCAGGTGATGACTGACTGAGCTTCAGCAGGAGCGCTGATTAAGAAGTATTTCAGTGGTTCCTCGTGCTGGAAACATCCAGCTGTCTCTCTCTCTCCGTCTCACACCAACTCTTCCTCTTTAGATTCAAACATCAATGGAAAGTCACCTCACACACCTTTCCCTGGATTTGGGCCTGCTGGGACCAGACCTCTGGCATTTACACACTCTAGATCAAACACACGCGCGCACTGGCTCTCATACAGAAACAAGATCAAAAACACAGCAAACAGAAGGCGGGCGAGAGGAACTCTGAGAGAAGGGATGTGAGCGGACTCAAAGAGGCTCGCGCTAAGTGCCAGAAGAGCTTTCAAAGCGTTCAGGAAGTCAGGATGTGGAGGGAGTGGAGAGCGTGGCAGAGGAGGGCGATAAGGAGAAGGTAAGGGGATGAGAGCGGCGAGGAAAGCTGCAGCTTTTTACCCTCTGAGGAGTTTGAAGAGCATGCAGCCCAAAGAGAACCAGTCTGCGCTGCTGTCGTACGCCGTTCCCTTCTGGAGGACCTCTGGAGCCATGTAGCCATGAGTCCCACTGTGACAAACACACACCAAGGTAGAGTTAAATCACACATTAGTTAAAAATCAGAGAGGAACATTTCCTCTGTTTTACAAAATGCAAAAAACTAGAAATAAAAAAATTCTCAAAGTATATTTAACCTTAATTTGAGTAGGTAAATAAGATGATTTGCCATTGGGCTGAGATAATTAGATAGGAGGAAGCCAGAGTACCCAGAGAGAACCCACACATGCTCAGGGAGAACATTCAAACTCTGCAGAAAGACCCGGGGTGGGAATCAAACCCAGAACTTTCTTGCTCATATTGAATTAATTGTCAACTAATTTACTAACCGATTAATCGTTAAACGGAATATAGAGACTGTAAAATATGGCTTCAGCTGAACGAGCTACCCACTTAGAGCAGCAATTACATCAAAACTTTAAAAAAAAAAGAAAAGGAAGCATTTTTCATTTATGATAAAAATCATTTTCCTCTGTCAATCTCCTCTGTCCAGAACTCAAGTGGAAAGTTTCTAGTTTCACCTGGTTTAATTTTCCAAAAATACTCCTTGCTTAAAGGAACCTTTTGCTATCTGATTATTCATCGAAAATAAGTATTGGGAGATTGATCATTTTGCAAATAATGACTGGTTGCAGCCCTACTTTTATCATATGTTTGTCTATTCAATAACTTAAAAAAAAGAAGGTTTTTAAATAGAAATGTTGGATTTTTTTATGGGCTTTGATTAAAGTACAGTGAATTAATTACAGAAGCTATAATAACTTCAATTCCAAAGCTTAATGGAGACCTTCCAGTAGTTTATAAACCTGAAATATGGGTCAGATTTTCTCTGACTAAACTGTTTCAAACAGAGGTCAGCAGTCTGATTATTGCCGAGTCCAGATCGGTGTAAGTCATCCAACAATCCGCTAACCTGACAACAGCCAGATGCATGTCTCGCTCCGCCTAGCTCCACTCACATACAT